GTGTCTGAGACCCGCTGTGTCTGAGACCCGCTGGTTCTGAGACCCGCCGTGTCTGAGACCTGCTGGTTCTGAGACCTGCTCTGTCTGAGACCCGCCGTGTCTGAGACCCGCCGGTTCTGAGACCCGCTGATTCTGAGACCCGCTGGTTCTGAGACCTGCTCTGTCTGAGACCCGCTGATTCTGAGACCCGCTGGTTCTGAGACCTGCTGGTTCTGAGACCTGCTGGTTCTGAGACCTGCTCTGTCTGAGACCCGCTGGTTCTGAGACCCGCTGGTTCTGAGACCCGCTGGTTCTGAGAGCTGCTGGTTCTGAGAGCTGCTGATTTGCACGGTGATGAAGGTTCAGGAGGTTTTAAAGTTCTGAGCTTCCCCTCGGTCTGCGGTGCTTCAACCTGAAGATACTGTAAAAACACTTTGAGGCTTCGCAGATTTCACCCAGGAGTCCGGTTCTGTCCAGGAGTCCGGTTCTTTCTGTAAAATAAGTCACTGCCATCTTGGTCCCGCTGAGTCTGACCCACTGAAGGAAAGTTCTGCTGACCGGTTCTTCACTGCAAACCCAGAAATAAATCCACGAGTTTAAAAAGCTGGAAGTTCTGACCGTGAAGAACCACAGGAACGTTCCTGCAGGGACTGAACTTGTAGCAGGAGTTTGACTCTGGAGGTTTTCCGTCCCGAGGAGGAACCGGACGAAGAACTTTCCTTCAGGATGGAGTTGGACTTCACGCTGACCTTTGACCCCAACCCGTCCCCCCACAGTAGGTCTGCGTCTGGACATGAGACGTGCACGTTTCCATGCACAGAGCTCGTGCACAGATGACGTTGGTAAGAAAATAGTGCACACTACCTATTTATACATGGATGTAATTTACCTTCCACGAACTTTAAAACCTGAATAAGATTATTTTGTCACGTGACTTAAGACAATTTGTACTAGATGCAGACAGGAAGACGCCATCATCTTTATTATTATTATTATTGTTATTATTGTTATTGTTCCTCTACTGCAGGTGAATATTTATGTTTTCGCGCTCATTTTTAACATGTTTTGCCAACTTTGACCACTAGGTGGAGATAAAGAGTTACTGTGATGCAGCCATAAGAGATAAAACTGAGAACTACATTTCCCAGCATTCCCTCTGAGGGGGGAGGAGGGGTGGAGGTCTCCAGTTCTGGTCAGGATTTTATTTGTTTTAAGCCAGTATTAAAATGTGGAGCGTCCACAGGAAAGCCACCACATTTGTGCCATTTTTAAATTAGTTTTCTACTTAAAAACACACTTTTTTTATTTTTTATAATCTGTTCATTTAAAAAATACCAGAGAAGTTTAACGTATGATCAGCAATTGAGACGTTTCAGAATTTATTAGTAAACAAACAAAATGAAGATTTACCCAGATTAAACATTTATTTAGTTGGACATGAAAATAATAAAGTGACAGAAAATTTAATAACAAGTTTGGGACAAAGCAAAATTAAAAAAGAGATAAATTTTAAACTAAAACATTCTGAAAACATTTAAAATACAGAAAACTACAAATATTAAAAAAACAAATCTGGAACTCAAAAATTTTTAGTTTAAATGTTAATTTTTTATAATACAGTTGTCTTAAAACCTTCAAAATTTATTAAAACCCCAAAATGTTTTAAACCATTTTTAACAAATTCACACACAAAAAAGAAACTTAGCAGAATAAATGCACAATTTTCAGATTTAAATCATTTCGTTAATTTCTGGACTCCAGAGCAGAACACCTAATCTTTGTTCGACCCGGTCCGGGTGGGTAGAACCTCACAGGGCCGCCGTCCCTGTCTCCAGTCGTCTTGTCTACCTCATCGGCGCTGAGGGTCCAGACTGTACCAGAACCTGATCTGGAGGTTTTGTTGGGACAGAGGGACATGTTGGACAGGAAGAGACACTCAGAGGACATAGACATTTTGGGAGAACCTGCTGGAAGGAAACCTTCAAACTGACGTGTGTTTTTATTCCTAAATGTTGGTCAAACCTCTGAGCAAAATGTTTCTTCACAACTCAGTTTTTATGGAAGTCGTTTGACAGGCGGCAGATTTAAAGTAACAAAGATCAGACGAATTGGTGCAACTGAACTTAAATCCATAGTTACATAATCCCCCCCCCCAAAGATATTTTTAAACCCCACAAAAAACTTGTAATGATTTTACTTTCATGTTGCTGTTCTTATTAAAGCACTTTAGACTTCAGAAATATGATCTTTTACAGAAATGTTAAATAACTAATGGAGCAGCACTAAAGTCAACTATTTGGTTTCATCTTTTAACAAATCAAACGTGGAAATTGGAGTTCACATTGAGCTGTCTGCAGATCTGCAGTTAAAAACCATTTAACCTGGTTTAAAACATGTATTTGACACAGTTAAACACATGTATTTGATTTTGTTAAAAACATGTATTTGACCTGGTTTAAAACATGTATTTGACCTGGTTTAAAACATGTATTTGACCCAGTTAAACACATGTATTTGACTCGGTTTAAAACATGTATTTGACCCGGTTTAAAACATGTATTTGATCTGGTTTAAAACATGTATTTGACCTGGTTTAAAACATGTATTTGGCCCG